ATGGCCTCCAACCTACTAGCGATGGCCTCCAACCTAAAAGCAATGGCCTCCAACCTACTAGCGATGGCCTCCAACCTAAAAGCCATGGCCTCCAACCTACTCGCTATGGCCTCCAACTTACTAGCAATGGCCTCCAACCTACAAGCAATGGCCTCCAACCTAAAAGCAATGGCCTTTTAGGATGGACTCCTGGTGCTCCAGCACCGCTCCACCAGGTTCCTGGGAGCTGCAGAGGCTCACGATGCGGCCGAGGCTCGGCGTCGCCGCGCGTCGCGCCCGTGCAGCCGGACGGAGTTGTGGACGGACGGCAGCCGTTGGAAACTCACGGACGGGCCATGGACGGACGCTTTGGGTATTGGTATCATGCGTGGTACGTATCCATGTGGACGTGAGAAAGGTGACAGCAAAGCACCCGTGACGGCTGCGACACGCCGATCAAACCACTTCGACAAGGCGCACTTCAATGAATGATCGCCGCGGTGACACCTGCTGTGCGAGAGAGAGAGAGAGAGAGCTGCATGGTGAATGGTTTCTGGCTGGTTAGTGGCCAGGGTTCAGAATTATGATCTGAAACTGACAATACATGACAATACCATTCACCATTCAGCTGATTCCCATTGGCTATGTTCACCATGGTACCACGTGATGGGCCAATCTTCGGATTTCCCAACCACATCGACATCGATCGTGGCTCGACCCATCCGAACACCACGCCTCGTGGCGAGGACTCCCGTGGCCCGCCCTGTCGGAAGTGAGTCCAGCCCAGACGGGGGTAGGGACCGGTGTTCGGGGGAAGGCATGGCATGGCAGGGCAGTTCGCGTGACGTGGTCGGTTCTCGTGGTCGGTTTGAACGCATGTCCACAGTCTGTGGATGGTGTGGTTTGCGTGATTTTTCTTGGAGAAGAAGGTGAAGAAGGTGAGCACATGGTGCCTGGCAGGGTGAGCACGGCATGGCGTTAGCATGCGTGAGCTGGAGTTCATGAAGAGGAATCCATGATGGATCGTACCACTTGTCCCAGTACTTGTCCCCAAGTCACAAACACTCCAAAAGACTTTGTGTCCTTTCTAACCTGATGATTGAGGGGAACATAGGGGAAAGTTTTCGCTACTAGTAGCAAGAAGCTACTAGTAGCTCCTGGCATTACTAGTAGCTACTTGTAACAAACGCTTTCTAAAAGGAAGAACATTTAAAGTTCGTTTTCCACGCCCCGAAACCGCCGGGATGGGTGTGCTTTCTTCACGAGAGTGCGAGGGCCCAGTGAGTAGGCTGAGGAGGCCCGCCCTGATACCCGCCCTGAGGCAGTGGAACCTGATGGAATATGACCCTGTGATGTCCATAAACTCATAAACTTCACTGCTTTGATACAAGAGCACCCAAGGGTCAGCTTGTCGAGAGGTGTGAATTAAACTTGTTTCTTGGAATGCGTGTTTGCCAGCCACGGGCATTCTGAGGGAAAAGTTGCTCTCCGGCTTCATAGCACCCGCCCTAACCAGGTCCCCGCTTCTGGCAGCGCTGAACCTCACGAGCCATCATCAGGCTCGCACCGGGCACCCGAGCGAAGGTTGACTGAAAGATGGAGAACTGAGGTCTTTCCATGTCCAGTTTACACTTGCCTTGGTGCTCTTTCCGACCGCTATGCCTAGGCATGTGATTTGTTCACACCGCAACCATCCATGGGACTCACCGCAAAGGCGGGAAACATGTTCTTCCGATGTCTTGAGGGGAAGAATTCCATCTGGGAACGGTCAATGGGTCGATGACGGATTTGGGTATGATGGAAAACGACACCAAAGCAGTGCATGTCCTCGGAACGTCCTCGGATCATGCTCAAACCAGCGAACTTCCCAGGAACCTCACGACCGCTGGACCGGCTGTCGCCCGCTCGTCGACCTCGACTGCAGTCCCCCAATCTGACCCGCCGACCCGCCGACAGCCAAAAGACGTCGCTCCGGAAAGCCGGTCGCGGATCGGTCTGCAGATGCTGATTGCTTACAGCGGAAAAGGCTGGGAATGGACCAAAAGGAGCGGACGCCACGCCTGGCCGCCTCCACGCGTCGGGTCCCGGTGTGTCCGTGACCGACACGGTGGGTCGTTTTGGGTGAGTGGAGAGGGGTGGAGTGGAGAGGGGACCGCGCAAAAGTGAGGTGGACCAGGTGCTGCCTTGAAATCAGGGCTCGGGGAAAGAAACACCATGTTCAGTTCCATTCAGCTCCACAGGATAAAATTGGTGTTTTTCTGGATCAGCTCTCAATCGAGGAGGTGCTTGGAGGAATGGAAGGGTAGGACAGGGATGGACAGGGTATGTTCACTTCTCTCGGACAATTCAAATGAAATCCGCCAGATTCCAGTCGGCCGAGTTGGCAGACCTCCCTGGCACTAACATGGAAGTGGAACATGGCCCCTTGGAAGGTTCCTAGTAGCGATGCCTTAGCGAACATTGCTCCTAGTAGTAAGGCCAGGAGCCCCTAGTAGTGTCCTTGCTCCTAGTAGCGATGCCAGGAGCCCCTAGTAGCTTCTTGTTCCTAGTAGCCCCTTGAAAGGCCATATTCCACTTCCATGTCAGTTCTACTGTCGCTTGCAGTTCCCGCGCGTTTACGATGGACGGAACCGTCTGAGTCTGCACTCTCCGACGGGTTCGCAGGAGACACGGCAAAGGTGGCAAAGGTGGCAAGCTCCGCAAGAAAGTTGGTCAGCTCAAACGGGATCGATGGCCGGACTCGACGTGCTTCGAGGGCAGATGAAAGAAAGCTGTCCTGGAGATCCTCAATATGTGAATATGTGCTAAACAGAGAAGAGTCCGGTTTCTTTCCACCCCTGTTTGCTTTCAAGATGCAGGCTTCCCAGGAGGAAAGAGCAAACCTTCGAAGAGGTCTAACAAACGAACAGTCTTCCACCGAAGAGGACGAGTAGGTTCAAGACCCGAGACCTGCTCAGACGTGTTCCTTCAGCTCGGGTCCCAAAGGTTGAGCATTCTGGTGTTTCTAATAGGGGTCTGTCCTATGACTCGTAACAATCAGGAAAACAATTGTCACTATTTTGGAAGAAGGCCTTTACTGACCGTCATCATCCACTGTTACAGGTAAATAGGATATGATCGACCCAATATATAATAGCAAAGGACCGCATCATCCCCAACAAAGTGGGCATTCGCAGCATTCATTGTCCTAGGTCCCATAATGTTAGCATTTGCAGCATGCCGGGCATTGCCAGTGTTCGACGTTTGCCATTTGCCTTGTTTGCATCGATTGAAGTTGCTTTCATGGATGAAGTCTGAACTCTGGTGAACCTGAAAGGGCCAAGTGATACTCCAAAGCTCGAGGGGGCGATGTTCCGGACTCGCGACTCTGCGGAGCTCCTCCTTGTTGACCTCCATTTGGCCGGTCAGCTCAGCGCCATTTCGGCCCAATCTGGGTGAGCCATGGCACTGAGGCAGCGAAGGGGTTTAGGGAACGAGATGCTGTTGCAGGCCATCGCTAGTCGAAACAAAGAAAGGAAAAGGAAGAAAGAAAGCACCGTTTTGAGGAGTTTTCAACCCAGTTCCCCAGCTCCGGATTCGTGGCCGAATGCACCCGTTTTGACCGAAAGACGACGCCAGATGATGCCAGCTAAAGCACCATGACAGCTCAGCTTACCAGCATATTTATTTTGTGATCAATCGCGTGAGAACTGAGCCAGCCATGTCAGAATCATTCAGAATCCTAAAAAATGCAATTCTGTTGAATTCAAAATTAAATCCGAGAGAAGGATTATCCTTTAAATTACAACATGTGGGACAAGAAGCTACTAGTAACAAGGACGCTACTAGGTGGAGGCCATCGCT